TGGGACCCACAGAGGTCATATTGCTGTGAATTATTGTGTTAAATTGAAGATTCATACTCAGTCATATTCATTTCATTGCATATTATATCTCAGTCTCTGTTGTTATTTATTCATATATCATATAATCATTTTGGGCTATTTTTCATGACATTGTGAGCTTGAGAGACTAGAGAGATTGATGACTGAGTGAGGCCGAGGGCCTGGTTTGTGAGGATATTTATGGGATCGGGCTGCACGCCGCAACATGTTGCATATTTATGGGATCAGGCTGCACGTCGCAGCATATTTTATATCGGCCGAGGGCCTGATTGTGAGGATGAGTGTGGATCGGGGCTGCCCGCCTGCAGCATACTTTATTATTATAGCACGTGAGTTATCCGTACAACACGTGAGTTGTCCGTGCAGATTATAGCGCTTGGGCTGAAGGAGCCCCTCCGGAGTCTGTACACACCCCTAGTGAGCGCAGGTACCTATTGTGTGCGAGTGTCGAGTGCGAATACCGAGTGCGAGTGCCGAGTGCTGAGTGACTGGGAGGCATGAGTGTTTGTGAGGTATGCCCGAATGGCAAGAGTGATTGTGAGGTATGCCCGAGTGGCAAGAGTGATTGTGAGGTATGTCCGAGTGGCACGAGTGACTGTGAGGTTTGCCTGAGGGGCTGTATATGAGTGATGTTCTGCCCGGGGGGCTGTATATGAGTGATGTTCTGCCGGAGGGGCTGTTTATGATTTTATCACTGAGTTGCATCGCATGGGCATGCACACATGACATACAGGCATAGAAATATATTTTTTCTCATGTTGTACAACATCACATCATTCATGATTTCTCATACATTTTGACAGATGGGCATAATGATGCATTTGTTTTACACGGGTTACCCGGAAGGAAAATAAAACATATTATTTATTATTGAAAAGATTTTTGGAAAAATTTATTGTTTTCAAACTATTCATATTATTGGCAACTTCGGCAAATGATTTGGGTATTTACAAGATGTATTTGAAAGAAATAACTACTATTTTTGAAATCATTATTTGGCTGAGTATTTTATCCGTGAGTTACTTCGGGTATTATTTGCTTTATGTTGTTATGGACTATTTTGGACTAGTGATTTTAGACCCGACCTTGGTAGAAGCTCGTCACTACTTTCATCCTAAGGCTAGGTTTGTTACTTACTCAGTACATGAGGTCGGTTGTACTGATACTACACTTCTTCATATTGCGTGCAGATGTTGGTTGTTGCTGTTGCTGTGCTCGATGGTTGCGGGATTTGAAGATGTACCTGCGTTCCTGTTGTAGCTGCCTCTTATTCATGGTAGCCTTAGATTTAGAAAAGCTCCGTTTTATGTATTATTCAAAAAGACTATGTATTTATTTTATTTCAGCTTTGTATACTCTATTCTTAGAAGCTCATGATTTGTATTACCAGTTCTTGGGGATTGTATAAGATTAGGATATTTATTCACTTAAATTATTTTAATAATTACTATTGAAATTGGTTAGTTGGAAATTGGCTTACTTAACGGAATGGGTTAGGTGCCATCACGACTAGTTGGATTTTGGGTCGTGACAGTTAACCTTTGAACAGCACTCGTAGAACCATACTGGCATAGCTAGAGGCATCCCAGTTATCCTGTAATACTTCTTCTGAAAATCCATCTTCTTGCTAATAGATCTAATAAGGGTCTGGAATGCCTCCTTACCTCATGGATAATCAGAATATCTCTCGCTCTCAACCAAGTCAAAATATAGTCTTAGGATGGCTGTGCAGTTCTTCTCGGTGGATAATATGAATATATGTATGAAATACAATACAATTATTTTAATGACATCTCCATCGTTGTCAAAACCCCAATTCTTATCATCAAAGACTTTCAACAAATCTTTCTTCTTGACATTCTTTGCACCGCCAAAGTATGTATCCACAATTCTGTTAGGCATCTTTGTGTTAAACTGAAAATCTTCAACGTCACTAACACAATTGAGACCAGTAACTATCGCAAACTCCGTGATTGAAAAAGCATAATGTTATACCATTCACATATATTGAAAATGAATCATCATGACTTTCTTCCAGCTGCAGAACCATGAAGCACCTGAATAATTGGTGTTGAACCTCACAGTGCTTCATATCGAGGAAACTTCCAAAATAAGTAGTATCAAATATTTTGTACTGATCTGGAGTAAGCTTTTCTTGAGGTCGGAGATTATATTTGTGTTAGTATATGAACTGATATGCGGTGATAAAATAGGCTTGTGTTTAACAAAGAGTTTTATTTTCTGCATACAAAAAAATTAAAAAGATAAAATAAATGGTTGAAAATATAGATGAATATAGTTATTTGGAATACATAACTCATTCATGAAATACAAACATAATGTATTGATAATTGCCACAAAAAATATGAGTTATGGCAATGACTGTTGTTTTAAATACAACAAAATAGAGTTGGCTTGAGAATACAGATGAAAACAGTTAGGTTGAATACATAACTAAATATAGAACAACTAGTGTGTTTAAAAAAGTTGTTGAATGAACTAAAATACATCTAAATACAACATTCAAAAATTACTTTAATAAGTAAAAATCAGTGTAGGCAATATTGAATACATATAAATACATGTACATACAAGAAGAGAAAACCATTGTACAAACTAATAATCAATGTATGCGGACTCAAACACATATAAATACATCTACAATTACCTTGTCGTTCAGTGTTTCCGAGCTAGTTCCTGTATCGACCTCTTTTCCCTTACCCCCTGAAGCATCATCCATAAGTTTTATTTTCTTTTCCGCATCAGGAAGTGTTGATTCTTTCGAAGATTTCTCAAATTGGCCTTGTTTCGTAGGGTCATTGCGTATTTTTTTCTCCTTTCGGCTTCAGTTGTTGCTGCTAAACCATGTTCCACTTGAATGATTTGCAAATCGAAAGATGACCCATCGAAATTGAGTACTTTGGTAGGTATACCTCAGGTAACCCTCTTTTGAGTTGTTGAATCAGCCATTGGAGAGAAAATTTCAAGTTTTCTGGTGAAAGCATAACAATGGTGAATATTTAAAAAAATTAGTAAAGAGAAAAAGAAGAAGCTATAACCAGCGAAAAGCTAACAACTTTAACACTTACCACAACTTTTTGAAGCAAAAAATATTGAAAATTGAGAGCGACAATGGAGCTGATAAAAAGAGAATCGTGGTTCAAGAATGGGGAAGAAAATGACGCTATGAGAGAGAGATCGTGGAGAGAGAACTTTAATACTATGCAGTGATTTTGGGAGAGAATAAATTTAAAGGAGAGAAAAATATTAGACAACGTATTTAATGGCTTAATTGTAGGAAGTGACCATAAATACATATTTTGCTATAAAAACTAAAAGATAGTTATAGAAAATAATATTTTAAAAGAGTATTTATTTATAATAAATAAGGTGTAAAGTTTTGCTATAGGAGGTAGAATTTTCAATTTTAAAATATAGGCCTTAAAGCGGGTATTTGTGAAAATGGGCCATTTCGATCCACATAAGCTACATTATATAATTTTGACTTTGCTTTTAAATTTTGTATTCAATTAGAGAGGTCAATAAGAGCACAAAGTGAATATAGGGGTGAGCATATGGTACAACTTTGAAATGGAAATATTTAAAGAGATTAAAACAGAGAGGACAAATAGGGGGGCAGGAGAAATAAATTTTCATGTTGTTTATTGTCTGGCTTGGAGGGCCATCAATATGAAAGTGTTAAATTGTTAATGATCTAAGGGGTCGTTTGGTTGGGGTTCATCAATATAATTGTCCACATAAAAACTAGCATTATTTATAATATTTGATTGGTATTTGAGGAGAGTAATCTCCATATAAAATTCAACATGAATTAATACAATGTTTAGTCGATACTTTTTATTTTTTCATAAACAATATATGCATAATTCAAGTGTGAATATACGTATTTTTTATATGGAATAAAATGTGAAATAAGATTACAGGTATTAGTAATTAATAGATTAAAATTTTAAAATAACAAAACTAACCATTATAATAGTAAGAAATATTTTAAATTAGACACTATATACTAATATGCAATATATCAAACTAAACATTCAATAAAAAATAAGTCATGCATTAACAATTCGTATATTATTAAATCTATATTATTAATTTTTATGTTATTAATCTCTATAATACTAGCCTTTGTATTATTATTTCTTACATTACTTATCTCAGCAATACTATTCTTTGCATAACTTATAGCCTATTTGGCCAAGTTTCTTAAGGCCAAAACTACTATTTTTTTTTTTTTGAAAAATGGTATACTTTTTTGTCAAAGTTGAAGTGTTTGGCCAAGCTTTTAGAAAAAAAAATGCTTTTGAATAGAAGCAGAAACAGAAAAAAGTAGCTTCTAACTTCTCCTCAAATGCACTTTTAAAAATATTTTTAAGAAAAATATATTTAGAAGCAATTTTTAAAAGCTTGGCCAAATATTAATTGCGGCTCAGAAGTGCTTTTGAAATTAATTAGCTAAACATAAAATGTTTCTCACGAGAAAAAAGTATTTTTGAGAAACAATATTTCTCAAAATAAGCTTATTTTAGAAGCTTGACTAAACATGATATTAGGGATCGTTTGGTTGATAAATAAGTTATCCCACGATTAATTATCTCATGATTAATTATTCTGGGTTAGTTATCACACTCTCTCATAGAAATAAAAAAAATTATAATTTCGAAATTAGTCATACTATGATTTTATCCAAACCAAATATGAGATAAATTCATTTCAAATTTAATCGAGATATTAATTATCCCTTATACTCAACGAGCCCTTAATCTCTAAACCAAACGACCCTAAGCAACAGGAATGACATACCCAAAGTCGAAAGTAATAAGGCATACGGTGGGATACGTGAAGCACGCGCATTCAGCTTTATTTAATTTATTGGATTTTAATAATATTGGGGAGAGTGGCACTGGCCCCGACTTCCGAGTATGTGTAGCACAATGCACCACTGTTTTATTTTGGCCCCTTTATCTCTTTTATATTTTTACAGCACAAATACCATTAAAGTTGATATCATCACACTTATTTCTGCTTCATCTACTACTACTGCTAATTGGAACAGAAACTGGGCAGCAGCGTGCCTTGTCAGCTGTTATAAAAGTTTTTAGTGGCTTTTGACTCTTCTTTTTTTACACAGAAAGAAAGAGAGAAAGTGAAGTGAGAAGTTAGTTAAGGCAAAGAATGAGACGAGACCCAAAAATAACAGAAGATAAAGAAGTAGCAGATGGGCAATTGTGGTACTAGAGAAGAATCTGCTGTTATCTCCAATGCTCATCATCAAGGTCAACATTTTCTCTTTGTTTTTCCAGATCTATGATGTAGTTGTTCCATTTCACTATTAATTTGACTTTATTGCTCATTATTTTGACTTAGCTAGCTGCGCTTGATTCTTTTATGTATGCTTCCTACTGCAGAGACGATCTAGTATTTAAGCTCGGTTTCAACCTTTAAATTTCTTACCATCGAACTCATTCTACTTTTTTTAAAAAAAAATTATGAGTTCGTATCTACTATCTGTTGCAGTTTTAGTGAATTTTGGTACATAAATTTATGCTTCACTTTGAAAATACTGAACCGGTGCCATCCGCCTTTGCTTCGTAGCAATTTTGTACTCAAATTGGAATGACAACTTTTGAACTAATTTTGTAAGTCCTTTTTTTTTCTTCCAAAGTTGCTTTTATTCACCTCTTTAAATTTTAGGATTTTTTTTAATTGATGGGCAGTCCAGCAGCAGCAGGGAATATCGTTGCCAAACAGGAATTTAGGTGGTGACGCCAAGAGACAACACAGTCATAGCCGGTCTACATCAGATCTGAGCGAACCTTCGACCCCAAGGAACTTAGAGGACTTTAGGAAGAATGCGGTACTCTACACACACATAATAGCTTTCACGCTTTTTGAGCTGGAAACGATAACTAAAAGCTTTCGATCTGACTATATTCTTGGTGAGGGTGGTTTTGGAACTGTTTACAAGGGCTACATTGATGAGAATGTTCGAGTTGGGCTCAAGTCACTACCCGTTGCTGTCAAAGTCCTTAACAAAGAGGGACTTCAGGGTCATCGTGAGTGGCTTACTGAAGTCAACTTTCTTGGACAGCTTAGGCATCCTAATCTTGTTAAGTTGATTGGCTATTGCTGTGAGGATGACCATCGTTTGCTCGTTTATGAGTTTATGTTCAGAGGAAGCTTAGAGAATCATCTCTTCCGAAGTATGTGTCTGTCCTCTTGTTGTAATGACTAACTTGATGATGGTTTTTGATTTCCTGACTGCTATCTGCTATGTTTATCCAATATTAAGATGCCACATTACTTAAACATTAGTACTACGATATTTTTGGCTGAGTGAGTGGTAACTTTGATACATGTTATATTTGGCTTTTGGCTTCTGCTTTCTAACTGCAATATCACATAGTTGTCATCCCGTGCTTAACTCTTAGCCTTTAAGCTAAAGGGCATTGGTTTTGTCACCTTAGAAGAAATTGCTTGTACATGGCAATCTCGAGTCATAAGCAACTAAATATATTATTAGATTAAAATTGGATGGAATTCTCAACTCAACGAACCCTTGTTAGTGACCTTACCCCCAAAAAAAAAGGTGTACTCATCTTCATCAGTCCTTGTAGAGGTACATTTGAGTTACCAATCCTTTTCTAGTGTCTTTTCTGGTCTCCTAAAGCCTAAGCCTTCACCTTTTGACCTTTGATTATGGATGTGTTGAATGATAAGATCGGAATTAGCTCATGGTTCAAGTAAGTACCTTGAAGGATGGAGGTTCAACCACTGCATGATGCTACATTGATGACGAGATCAGTTTGCTTCAGCCTGATCTTTTGGAGTTGTACCAACAGTTTCTGCTTTGGGCTCTTCCCTACAGTACTAATTACTTTTGCTGTCTAAAGAAAAAGTAACCGGGACTGTTCTCTTTCTGAATAAATAATAATTTTGTGGAAAAGGTACTAGGTACTGTTAATAAGTTATCTGTTATTTTAATGTAATACACATAAGATCTATTTCAGCCTCAGCTAGACTTGCAGCTAATATTGATAGCTTAAGGGTTATTTTTTACTCGGTAACTTAAACCAGGCTTAATTGTATTAGTTGGAACCATATTACTTGGTCTAGTAATCTTCTGCGCTTGTTACTGAAATGCTAAAGTACTGTTTTAGTTAACCTCTGGAATATTATAGACCTGGAGAAACCATCAGTCATGCACCTAATCGAAAAATCTGGTGTTGCTGCAAAGAGAACAACATTTAGCTCTATGACTAATACAGTGCCAGAAAAGAGGATTCATAGTGTTAATCTTTGTCTATGCTCCAATTGTTTGGAGAACACGCTTGTCTTTTGTAATTGATGTTCAAATCACTGATACTTCAACTGAGATTACTAATTTTCTTGGCGTCAAGCTGCTGAATCATGATTTTACATTCTTATTGCTTCAAAAGCAATAAATGTTGGTTTTGCTTACTAAGTTGTGGTATTTCTTGAGGCTTTCAGAGGCTACTATTCCATTATCTTGGGCCACAAGAATGATGATTGCTCTTGGAGCAGCAAAAGGGCTTGCATTCCTTCATAATGCAGAAAGACCTGTTATCTATCGTGATTTCAAGACTTCAAATATATTATTGGATTCTGTAAGTCATGTGTCCGGGATTTCAACTATTTAACACACTTGATTTTCTTTGGATTTACCTTTCTTGATTCCCTTTATTTTTGTGCTTATTGGAATAACATGAGATTGGTGGAAATTGCAGGATTACACGGCCAAACTATCTGATTTTGGGCTTGCAAAAGCGGGGCCACAAGGTGATGAGACCCACGTATCAACTCGAGTGATGGGTACCTATGGTTATGCAGCTCCAGAATATGTTATGACTGGTATGCACTAATGTTTTGTGGCTGCTATGAGTACGATCAGACGTAGAACGGAAATCTTTGTACGTTCAATTAAAAACATTTGCTGAGAAAGGTGATTTATAGTAACTGGTAAACATATCAGACATCAAACTTGTTATGATATCTGAAGAACCTTCTATTCTACTGGAACCGCCGTGGCACTTCACTAGTTTTTCAGAATGCAACTTGATTACAGTCTGGAGTTAAGTCAGTGCCCTATCTGCATGTTGTAATTGTATTGGTGTCAGGCATTGACGAAGATTCCATATGACTTACACATATCATAGGTTCCATTTGGAGAACTAGGAAAAAGACGAGTGTTTTTTAGCTATAAAAAGCCATTCTGACTCTTATCTTAGATCCTAAAGCTCAACTTTATTGACATGCAATTATGAATTTCAGTATTCTACCGATAGTCAATCTCTTTGATGTATATCTTTTAGTCCAAATTTTGGTGGCAAGATTGAGGATTAATGTATAAGTATCTATTTTATGTTGGCATACCTGATACAAGTTGTAACATGTTGTGGATGCAGGACACCTTACTGCAAGAAGCGACGTGTACAGTTTTGGTGTAGTACTCCTAGAACTATTGACTGGAAGGAAGTCTGTTGACAAAACCAGACCAAGCAAGGAACAGAATCTAGTCGACTGGGCTCGGCCAAAGCTTAACGATAAGAGAAAAATGCTGCAGATCATAGACCCTAGATTAGATAACCAATACTCGGTGAGGGCAGCACAAAAGGCTTGCAGTTTGGCATACTATTGCCTTAGCCAAAACCCCAAAGCAAGACCCTTGATGAGTGACGTGGTTGAGACTTTAGAGCCACTGCAATCCAGTGGTGGCAGTGCAAATGAAACCTCATCAACCGGAAGTGGTGTTCGATTTGCCATGGGAAGGGTCCCAGATTACAGAACACATCACCGTTATGCTGGCTCTCTTGGTGCTGCAGCTGGTTGTCGGTCTCCCAACCCAAATTGTTCCCCAGGTGCCCCTGCAGCTTGCCGTGTTCGATAATGAGTGCGCCATTATTGAATGTTATTTCAATGCTGCAAAGCTCAGGTTTACTGCTGTTCTGTACTTGATGTAAATTGCAGGAGAAAGTATAGTCTTTTAAGTTTGTTGTGGTTCTTTAATGGGCAAATCTGTATGAGGTGAAGAGCAATTTGCTGACACAGTTTTAGCTTCTTCCTTCTTTTTCCCTTGTTTGCCTTATGGAAGAATTGAATGTGTGCTTTGAGTAAGTTCTACTAGTTTGATTATGCTTTTATTTATACATATATATTATTCTAACATGGAAGTAGAGGTGGAAGTGCTGGTGTGAAACCACATTTGGGATCATTCATCCCTATTTGCGCTTTTATGAAGACTGGTGATGCATCTGTGGTTGTATAAACTTCTGATTTGACATTTTTTTCCTCTAAAATTTCCCAGTTCGAAGTTTTGGTATGATCATACGTGTGTTGAAGATGATTTATACCATAAAATTCTCTTGTTTATTGAGTAAAGCGACTAGAAATCCCCGTTATTAGAATTTAAAAGCAATGGGGAGATTTGAGTTGTGATTCAGTACAAATGTTATTTTAGCTATATGATGTTTTTCAAAAGAGATCAATTAAAACACATAAAACAGTATCTTCGTAGTGTCAATTTCTTTCATTCAAATTGTGAAAGAGAATAGAATCAAACATCTAAATTTCAGTAATAATTTTAGTCTTTGCTAAAAAATGTCAGGTGCTTGCAAAATAAATTGAAATCTTGTTTGAAATTCATAGTTTCAATAAGAATTCAAGTCAATCATACAAGATTAATTTAATTATGTTAAAACTATTTAAGTTGTAAATAAACAACGAATCGACATTACAATAGATCGCTCTAATAGCCTGTTTGGTCACGCTTCTAAAATCTGCTTATTTTGAGAAGTGTTTGTATACGGTAGAAACTGAGCTCGCCTATTGCATGACAGATCGGGGGTGAAATATAGTGGGTTGAAGATCGATCCTGGATTCCATCGAACTTAGGTACGAGGTTAGAACATGCGCCTTCAAAGATTACCGAGTCTGTGACCCCGGAACTGACTCCAACTCCGAATTAGCTCGAGAGAACATCATCGAACTAAAATAACGGAAGGCCGAAATATCCGTAACCGGTTGCGCATCATATCGGGAATCTCGGCACGTATCAATGAAACCACTTAATTAGCAAATCATGAGATTTTTTTTATCTTATATAGAGTTATACCTAAAGTAGGACTCTCCTACTATATAAATGGGGCCTAATTATTTGTAAAACACATTGTAACACAAATCCCAAAGCTATAAACTATAATTTCTAATTATTATTATCTCATTGCTCTGTTCCGACATCAACTATAGCATTTTTGACTCGAGGGTGATCAACCTTCAAGGCTAAGATTGTTCAACTTGTGTGGTTTGCATTTACTTTTCTTATCATTAATTTCAATCTTAACCTGATTTCTCATTCTGTATCAAGCGAGATCACGTATCCTAAAAATCGCGTATAAATTCAATTGTTATCCGTTTTTTAGAGTAAACAGTTTGGCGCCCACCGTGGGGCTAAGGATAATAGTGTTATTTAATACAAATCTCCATAACACACATTGCTTTACACTTGCTCTTTGAAGTGTCTTTGATTCGAGGCTAAAATACAAAAAAGGTCAAACTCTCAATCAACACCTTTGCATGTTGACAACGAGTCTAGTCACCAAGGTGAAAATAACAACATAGCGCCCGGTAACGAGATACCGCATGCTGATCCCGCTAGAATTCCAATCGCAGATCCGATTGACGCTAATTCGCATGTAGCTATCGATGCAAATTTGCTTACCGACCCCAAAAATAGCGTTCGTGGTGGAGCCCGATCGGCAACTCGAAACACATAAAACGTTGAAGGAGACGGGATCAACCTACGAATGATCTTCGAAATATTGCAGGCTCAACAGGCGGCGATAGCTTAGTTACATAACCAAAGCCGTGCAACAAGCAGGGCTGAGCCTGATCCTCCCCGAGAAGTAACCTGCATAGATGAATCGGTCGTAGAAAGGTCAAACAAACATGAATCGGGGGCTAGCTCCGAAATTATAAAGACGCTTGAGGAGCTGACAAAACGGATAGAATCAGGGAGAAGAAGATTGAGGCTAATAACATAAAGGTGGAAACTTACAATTCCAGGGTAGACCAAATCCCAGGAGCACCTCCGATATTGAAGGGCCTGGATTCCAAGAAGTTCGTACAAAAACTCTTTTCTCCGAGTGCGGCTCCGAAGACAATCCCTAAGAAGTTCCGTATGCCCGAAATACCCAAGTACAACGGAACGGCCGACCCTAACGAGCACATAACCTCTTATACATGTGCTATCAAAGGGAACGACCTGGAGGACGATGAGATCGACTCTGTTTTGTTGAAAATATTTGGGGAAACCTTGTCAAAGGGAGCTATGGTATGGTATCACAACTTACCTCCTAATTTTATTGACTTATTTGCTATGCTTGCAGATTCTTTCGTAAAAGCACATGCAGGTTCCATCAAGGCCGAGACTAGGAAATCAGACCTTTTCAAAGTCAAACAGAAGGATAACGAGATGCTTAGGGAGTTCGTGTCCCAATTTAAAATGGAACGAATGGATCTGCCACCGGTCGCTGATGATTGGGTTGTTCAAGCTTTTACTCAGGGACTTAATATTCGAAGCTCGGTGGCTTCACAGCAGCTGAAGCATAACTTAATAGAATATCCGACTGTTACATGGGCCGACGTGCATAACCGGTATCAGTCAAAAATCAGAGTCGAAGATGATCAACTCGGGGCCTCTTCGGGGTTTGTTTATCTAGTTAGAACTTTCGACAGAGTCAAGAGAGAGAGATATCGTGAACCGAGGCCAAATAGGGATAGATATCAACCATATAACGGAGATCGGAGAAGCAGCGGGTCCGTGCGAAACCCCATGGGAAACGAAATGAGGAACGACCGAGGTCAAAGCAGTCGGGGACTTATGACCAAAAATGGCCTTGACAGGTCTAAAGACGCACCAAGGCTATCGGAATACAACTTTAATGTCGATGCTGCCGCCATTGTATCGGCTATCGGGCGCATCAAAGGTACCAAATGGCCTCAACCCCTACAGTCCGATCCAACCCAAAGGGATCCTAACCAGATGTGCAAATATCACGGCACTCATGGTCACAGAACGAAGCATTGTCGACAGTTGAGAGAGGAAGTCGCTCATCTATTCAACAATGGGCACCTTCGGGAGTTCTTGAGCGACCGAGCCAAGAATTATTTCAGGAACAGGGATTCTAACAAACAGGCAGAATAAGAAGAACCTCAACCCATCATTAACATGATCATCAGAGGAGTTGATATCCCACATGGGCTGATGTTGAAACGCACCACCAAAGTATCCATCACTAGGGAGAAACGAACTTGGGACTACATACCGGAAGTAACTTTATCTTTTAACGATGAAGATGCGGAAGGGATCGTACAACCCCACAATGATGCACTCGTAATATCTGTACTCGTAAATAAAATTCGGGTTAAACGTGTGTTAATTGATCCAGGTAGCTCGGCCAACATCATTTGATCAAGTGTCGTGGAACAACTCGGTTTGTAAAACCAAGTCGCGCCTGCATTTCTAGTTCTAAACGGATTCAACATGGCTTGTGAGACCACTAAAGGCGAAATAACATTACCAGTAAACACCGTCGGGACCATCCGGGAGACCAAATTTTATGTGATCGAAGGGGACATGAGATATAAGGCTCTATTGGGAAGGCCATGGATCCACAACATGAGGGCGGTGCCTTCGACGCTTCACCAAGCATTGAAATTCCTAATACCTGACAGAGTTAAAACAATCTACGGGGAATAACCGACTGTAAAAGAAATGTGTACAGTTGAAGAGGTGACATCGGCATCTACAGTTTCAACATTGAAGGGCCTAAACCAAGTGGTCAAAACGGGGCAAAATAGCAATCACTGATACCATCTTCGGCAGATTCGGACAAACAAGGAGAAGTCGAGGATGATGATTATGGGATTCCCAGATCTTTTATAGCCCCCGATGATATCGACGCCACTAAATTGATGGTCGAGGAACTGGAACAAGTCATATCGCGAAACAACTTGCCCAATCGAAAGGTATACCCAGGCACGGGGCTAAGCTCCAAGCTCAAGGAAAAGCTCATTCAATTTCTTATAACTAACGAAGACTGTTTCACTTGGTCCCACCTCGATATGACAGGTATCCCATAGGAGATAACCACTCAGAAGTTGAGCCTGGACCCAATGTTTTATCTAGTTAAACAAAAGAGAAGACCCCAGTCCGAGATCAAGCATGCTTTCAATAAGTATGAGGTATCTAAACTTCTTAAAATAGGGTATATTCGGGAGGTCAAATACCTAGATTGGTTAGCAAATGTAGTGGTAGTCCCTAAAAAAAAGAATAAATTAAGAATGTGTGTAGACTCTAAAGATTTGAATAAAGCATGCCCCAAAGACTCTTTTCCTTTGCCCAACATCGACCGTATGATCGATGCCATGGACGGCCACGAGACCCTCAGTTTTCTCGATTCCTATTCCGGGTACGACCAAATACGGATGGACCCGGGTGGTCAGGAAAAAACTTCCTTCATCACTAAGTATGGCACGTACTGTTATAACATAATGCCGTTTAGATTAAAAAATGCTGGTGCCACATACCAACGCTTAGTAAATCGGATGTTCGAGAAACAAATAGGAAAATCAATGGAGGTTTACATTTATGACATGTTAGTTAAGTCGACCATTTAAGACATTTGCAGGGAATATTCAGTATACTGAAGCAGTACAACATGAAGCTGAACCCAGAAAAATATGCGTTTGGAGTAGGGCCGGGTAAGTTCCTCGGATTTATAGTATCCAATCGGGGAACCGAGATCAATCCTGATAAGATCAAAGCCATCGAAGATATCACGGTCGTGGATAACGTAAAGGCCGTGCAAAGGTTAACCGGGTGAATATCCGCCTTGGGGCGATTTATTTCGAGGTCCTCCGACAAAAGCCACCGATTTTTTGCACTATTGAAGAAGAAGAACGACTTTTCGTGGACCCCGGAATGCCAACAAGCTTTGGAGAAACTCAAAAGGTATTTATCGAGCCCGCCCCTGCTTCACACACCGAAGGCGGACGAACAACTATACTTGTACTTGGCGGTCTCAGAGATAACAATAAGTAGAGTTCTAGTTCGGGAAGAGCAAGGTACGCAATTTCCAATTTACTATGTTAGTAGAACCTTAGGT